TGTGAAGAAACCGGAAAGCTCCTGAGATACCAGGTGGATGTATGCGGTGGGCTCTTCATGTGATAGCGCATCCCAAAGCTGCTGGACTAGCTCCTGAACCGAAAGCTGACCTGGTACGTCTGGAAAGGTGACTTTGGTGAGTTCAAAGATGAGGGCGCCGAAGACCGTGAGGAGGGGTGCTGCCCACGTGCGAAAGAAAGAAATAATCGGTCTCGCTTTTAGCCAGTCTTTGGTCGGTTTGCGAAGGATGCGAGCCGTGGGCAACGGTGCCTGGAGTCGAAGTCCCCAAGCGTAACGCTGTTGTAGGAGAGCAGGTATCGTAGTGACAGAGCGAAAAAGATGCTGCAGACTCACGGCACAGCGAAAAGACATCTCCTGTGCAAAAGGTCTTGTGCATCAGTGTGGCAAATAACGAAGGACAAATCACTTGAGCACGCGAAGGGAAATGATCCGCTGGGATTACAACCCACGAGGACAGGGAAACAATAGTGCGTTGTAGTGACGCGGAAGTCCAGTGTGCGTGGTCTTGAACGTTAGAGCGATGTGCATCGATCAACTCCGTCAGAACAGGTTGAACATCAGTAGGGAAACTGGTTCCATGTACATGCCAGCGACGAGCCAGTCTACGAAGCTGCATGGTAAAACGCTGTTGAAGCATGTCAACATCACCAAAATACTGATCCTTCATGGATGCAGTCATGATGTCAAGGTCAATGTCCGCATTGATGCGCGAGAACTCATCCACAATCACGGCATGATCATGTGCACGATGCAGGTTGCAGGCATCCATGTCCGAACAGCGACACGGAAAAGACGTGTCAGGAGTCCACCTGCGTTGCCATGTGCGGTAGTTGTAGATCCTGTCTCCCAAGGTAGCACTGCGAGTTTCCACAACACGGATCTTTGGAAGAAATAAGGAAGGAAACAGATCACGATGTGATGCTACCCAACGCTGCAACCATGTTCCAAGCTGAGCCTTCCAATTCTGAACGAGGTGGGAGAAGCAGTTGTGTCATGGTGCTCGGTAACTGAAGTTGTCGTTTGCGCGTAACCTGGGCGAGGAGTTTCTGCGCCTTGGAACGAATAGGGCTCAAAAGGCTCGTTGACGAAGACGGAGAGTCGCAGGAAGTAGTAGAGCTGGGTGGGTGGAAAAGCCGCCGATAACAGATCGCGCATAGCTTGAAACGACGCACCTGTGTTGGATCCCAGTTGAGAAAGAGTGGAGTAGTGTGCTTGAATGTCATCCAACATCTCGGTCGTAATTGCCGATGGAGATCAGGATGTAGTCGTCGCCGAAAGCGCTTGTGTAGCAAGAGTGAGGTAGGCGATGACAACGAATGACGCCGAAAGTCAACCAGATGTTCACGGAAACCAATTTTCCGAAGAAGTCTGTGCACCCAGAGAGCGTTTGGATGTGGACGTAGCATGTATTGCCACTTGCTTTCCTGAACCCAAACCGAGGAAAGTGGGCTTTTAATCTCAACCGGAATGGCACAGAAAAGCCAGTAGGTGTTGGATCGCTTCCAGTAGTGAAGCCCAGGCTCAAAGAAGGCATGATGTCTCCGTAGTAGTTGTAGAAATTTGCGGCTGCGTGAATGTTCTCGGCGAAGAACATCCTGATCTGTTGCTCCAACGTAGTAGGGACTACGCCATGGTGAGAGTCTGAGGTAGACGCATGGTTGCTGATGGTGACCTGGATCCTGAATGAAGTCAAAGAGGTCCGGGAAGCGTGTCCGCAGTGATCGAAGGTGTCGCATATCCGCAAAAGTGGAGTGCATGATTTCACACAGCAGTGACGTCTTGTAAAAATGAAGAACCTCGAAGAACGGCGGAATGTACCCATGGTTTTGAGAAATGAGACGCTGCAAAAAACAGATCAACAGATAGGCAGTGTTCCGACATCTGTGAAGCTCATACCTGTTGGCCACAGTATGAGAGGAACGCGACATGGGATGTATCGGAATCTGAAGTGCAATCCGAACCACGGTGAGCACTTCAAGGATGAGGTCTAACTGAGGCAATTGCTGAATTGACTCATACTCATCCATTGGACTCGACGGTGGTGGAAGTCCAGGAAACCATTACTGCCAGCACGTAGAGAACACCGTCAGCGAGTTCAGAAAAGTAGCCAAGGAATGCCATTGTGCAACGTCATCAAAGATTCCACTGCGGCGAAGTTCAGTCCACATGATGGATATGCAACCAAGGAAAGCTACAAGGTGGCGGCGACATGCATTCAAGAGACAATGAGCACCAAGCAACTCACAAGGCAAGTAGAGACAAGCACCTCACCAAACAAGCAATGTGCAAGAAGAGGACGGACAAGTTTCGAACCGTTCGTCATCTATGACGCAACTGCCGCTCCGGGCTAATATGCAAGCAATGGAAGCTGTTCACCCAGTGAGTAAGCGGGCAGTCACGATGAGGTGACACCGCGCTTTGTCCGTGAGCTTGGTAATGTAGCCAGGTTCAAGTCCCCACAGAGCGGCCATAGCCGCAAACGTAGGTGCATCTCTTTCTGGCATGCGTTGACGCGCCTGAAAGAGCTGGGTCGACATAGATTCCAAGGACTTGTTGCCGTTGAGCCTGGATGGGTGATTGGCCCACTTAATCAATGACGCCACTGTAGTGGTAGTGGGTGATTGCTTGAGATACAAGCGTGGTTGATCACTGGTCCATGCGTAGCGCTTGATGATGTCTTCTGGCGTGCTGTGTATGGTGAGCAGCTGTGACGCCGCCGGCTTGGAAGGCGGGGAAGAAAGTCCGTGAAGCGACTGGATGATCCGAGGTTGTTGTTGAACCGAACCATCAAACGACTTGCCATCGAGGGCCGCCGCACTGACCGTGGGCAGGGAGCTGGTCGGCGTCGAAGAGTGTGAGTGGTTGGCCGGAGGTGCAACTCTGCATCGTCTTTCTGAGATGGTAACGTAGGGGAAGACGAAGCTCGTTGTGATGCCGAATATTGAGCCTGGAGCAACTATGTAGATCAGTGAACTTCTTGAGCATGTCTTCTGCTTGGGTAGAGGGCGTAAGAGTCGCGGCTGATTGAAGTCGTCAAGGTTGAGCCCCAGCGAATTGGCAAGGTCCTTTTCCAAAGTAAGCAGGTTGAGCGGCTGTGATCGTCGCAGTAGTTTTGGGCAGGTACTCCAAAGCAGGGCCTCGGTGCGGGTACGAAATCCTTCCCACGTCACGAATCTCCCGTGAGCAAATGGTCGCAGTAGCCAGTTGGTAATGCCCCCGTGTATGACCTGAACCAGGCGAACATCCCGGATGTCCATGCCAGACATGTCACGTAGAGTATTGTGCGGGGTGTTGGCAACCGTCATGGGCAGGCTAAAGGAGTAGAGCGGGTTGGTGTCGAACATGCCATCACCAGGTGTCCAATCATCCGGTGGAGTAAGCCACGCTTTTTGAGGTCGAACTGGCAGCGCAGCTGGGTATCCAGGCGATGGTGTAGCTTGGGAAGAAGTGACCGGTGGTGGCATCACGGGCGTCACGAACTTAGCTGGTGTGGGCTCCGGAGGAAACGGCATCATGTAGTTGACCGGAGTATGATGAAATTGCTGCGTAGAGGAGGGGTTCGATTGATAGTTGCCTGGCGGCACCGGAAAAGCAGCACTGTAGCCCGAATTGTGTTGCCAGGAGACCAAGTTGTTCCAATCCATGCCATCCGAGACCAGGTTGTCATTGTGTTCACGTCTGCGTGCTTTGCGAGGCTGGGAGGAGGGACTCCGATCCCTTCTGCGCCGAGTTCTGGATCTGTCACGATCATCCCGGCGTGACATGACGAAACAGCAACACGTCCGGAAATGCTCGTCCTTGAGGAAGGATACAAACGACAAACCACAATCAATGACAACTCAAGACCATGTACATGCATATTCATGAATCAAAGCTCGACCACTGTGCAGTACGTCAAGTGCAGCACACAACTCGGATAATTCAAGCATGTGAATCGGCCGACATGACGGCATCACAACGCAAGGCACAAAGGAATCTGCCAGCAGCGACATCCAGGATTGTGAAACTTAACTATGAAGAGGTGGCTGTCTTCCCTTTAGTGAAACCTCGTTCCTGCTTAAACGTGAAATTCCGCTGTTCCATGATAAGCACGTTGAGGTCAAATTTTCCGGCGTGCCGGCCCGGGGTCACACGATGGGTACACCCGAGGGTCCCCCACGAATGGGGTGTTCACACTTAGACTCCAGATGGAGGGTTCTAATCTTTCGAGTACAACTGGTAAGTCTCGGCTTGGATAAGGTTCTGCATGAATGAGTTTCGGCTCGCAATGCATTCGGTTTCCCTCTAGTGTCGAAAACGTTACAAGGTTCAACATGAAGCACACACAGCGAGAGAAACAACGGGCCAAAAAGACTTTGCACAACCGTTGCAGGTACACAGCTGGACGTCTCCAACTGCTTCACCAGGGTCACGAGGGTGTCTTCGTTGGTGGCAGACTCTCGGCCCTGCTGCCACCCCCTGCAGTGGGAAAAAGTTTTTGTGTGGTGGCAGGGTTTTCTGCCACTCCGCACACACACACACACACATCATCTCAACCTCTTCCACTAGCTGGTCTGATTAGCAATACTAAACCCTCAAGTCTAATCTGAAAAGGAGGCTCTAGCAATACCAAAGCAAAAGAAAACTCAAATCCACCAACACTAAACCAATCTCAAAAGGAGGCTCCACCGATACAAAATCAATTGAAACACAACAATTCTGTGAACAATACTTACGTAGCAACTCGTACTCAAGTTGGAAGAACTGTTTGGGGAGGGAAGTTGCTTGGGGGGGAGGGGGGGTAGTTTATTAATCAGAGGTAGACATTATGATGAGGTTCCATCTCAAAGTACGGGGAGACTACGCTCAGAGTTCTGGATTCGAGAAGTGCGAACATGAAGTGCGGAGCGACGAGGAAGGAAGCCCTGCGCAGCCATGCAACAATTCCCAAAAGCAGCCTTTGCCCAGGTCAAACAAAATTTATGAAAAAGCCGAGCGTCTCAAGCGGTTCTGCCAAACGAGTGACAGCTGAAGTGCCTCGGGGATGCTGCTTTCTGAAAATGACAGCCAGTCCCAGTTCAGACCAAACATGACCGCTTGGGCGCAAACGAATACGGAGGTTTTTCCACAATCCCACCAACTTCTTCGTGATGGTTTTGAAGGTTGCAAGGATTTGTCAAAAAAGGGGAGACTCCAAACAGGCTTCCTTTTTGCTCGAAACCCCAGTCCCAAAAAGGGTGCCTTGACATGTTCTCGCCTCGAATGCACGCGCGCTGAGCTTGACCTGCCAGGGACGGTTCAGCTTCTGAATCATCTGCTGAGCCAGGAGTTGGATGATCGGCAGTGCCTGGAACAGGGCAGTAGAGCTGGGCCCATCCTTTGGGTTCCAAAGAACGGGTCCACCATTTAGAGGAACTTCCTGTCTTCTCCATTGAGAAGCATCACCGCTTCGCGAAACTCACCATTTGGGCAAAATGGTATTGTGTAAGCAGGGAAAGCCAGAGACTCAGCGTGAAGAAGGTTTGCTCTTCTTCGCCGGCATGCTCCTTTCCCAGATTCGGCCATAAGTTGCAACACATCGAACAGTGGTCACCATTCAAAAAATGGGGGGTTAACATAACCCTCAATGTCTAAACTGCGTCAACCATTCTTTCAGTGGGAGTCGGTTGAGCCCTACCTTATTTCTCAGATCTTAGTGTTTACCGCAAGTCCCTCCGGCCTTTTGTGATTCTCTAAGACCCCGTTCAGCAAATCTTGGACAGGTATGTCGGAAACTGAGGACGATCGGTGCCAGTTGCAGCTTTTGGGGGAAGATGAGCCCCATCGAACAGAACGCATTTCGGGTTCTGCTGCACTCAGGTCGCCTGTTGCCGCTGATCTTGGTCAGAACCTGCCACTCTTGGAACCACACCCAGCACGACTTCTTCCAGCACTAGATCTGCAGGTGGAACGCTGTCCAGCAAGCTGCTGGTCATCATCAACATCTCCTCATTTAGTTTTGTCAAAATAGAGGGACGTGGTTGTTCCTTTTGCTTTCCCTTTCAACAAGCCGAAAAGAGTACAGTCACTCTTACAAAGAAAGAGACTCAACTGTCTCTGGGAATCAACTTGCGGCCGAGTCTCCAAATAGGACTCCAATGAGACTACGCAATTGCTAAAAGTTACTTTCTTGAAGCGCGGCAGTTGCTGATACACCTCCGCTACGCTGCGAGAGGAGGGTTCGTGGAGATTCCTCAGGTCAGAAGAGAGACGACAAATGAAGTATTCTTCACGCAAGGTGACCAACTGGGGGAAAAAAGAAGTGAACCTCCCTAGCTTGGATTCGATGAGAGTTGCACTTTTGCTTTGCACTTGATTCCGCAGAGTTTTTGGTCCGGTGCTTTCAGCTTCTTCTTTTTGTTTTGGGGGGGGGCAACCGCTCGAATCACGATCGAAAGGCAGCCTTCCCGTTTAGCCCTCCCTGCCTAATGATGAGTTTCTGCGCGCCGCTCGCACAAAGCTCTGGTCCGTTGCAGCTCAAGAAGTCCGCGAGAACTTCCAGCTGTGAGCCGCCCTCCGCCACGTGGAGGAAGATAATCGGCGCCTGCAGAGCTGTGGGCAAGACTTCATGGCACACTGATGCTTCTTTCCCGCGAGCGTCTAACTCAGAAAATGGCCTACTTGAAGAGACGCGCCCTCGACTACTCGCGCGCGAGAAATGAACCAGCCAAGTCGTTGATTTGAGATGTGCCACTGGCGTTTCTCAGTTGTCCACGTTTCCATGCGATGTTTGCTGGAAGATCTTCTGCTATGCAGATTCGGTCCTGTCTGAGCAATGGACGGGTTGCATAGTTCTGTTGCATACCTATGGTGAAATGACTTTTGTGATGCGATGTGACGTATTTCCACCCTGCTGCGCCATGAGTGATGTCACTGTTGCCTGACTGACGTGACTTTGCCCTGCCGGATTCATGATGGTCACGGCATTTCTCCTGCTGCAATTGAACGTAAAGCGCGCACACAGACCAATGGTCCAGGACTATATGTGGAGACCGAGGAAGTACTGTTTTATAGGCGCTGTTCTCGAGCTTGTTAACGTCATATCAATCCGGAATACCGTCCTAATCAGGAGCAAATTCCCCATGGAAACGATCTATGCTAGGGGGTTCCTCTAGGGGCCTCCTTGACAAAGTGCAAAGTTAGCATTCAACGACAGAGCAAGATGCACCGATCGCCTCTAGCTCCTGCTGTGCTTCGTCGTTGGTAAACCCAATCCGCACCTCTCAGGGCCAAGATGTAGAGGAGAGGGTGGTATTTGTTTGCCCGGATTCAGGTACCTGATGGATTCACAGGGTCCCCCCCCAAAGTGAAGGATCTCAACGGTTGGTACTCCGGGGTCATCATTCTCCTACAGTCCTACATGGCTACGCTGGCTGGCCGTTGTGTTTTCAGCATCAACCAGCTTGGACCCCAAACAGCACATCAATGCTGAAGTCTTGGGAGAGCAACATGACCCCGGCCACAGGAAGCACTAGGCTCGGGCCATTTGAGTTGCAGGTGGCATCTGGCACAACCCTCGTGCGTCGCCTCCAAAGCAACGCACAGCTACAGTGAGTCAAGACGCAGGCAGGGTACAAACTGACAAATGAAGAAAGGCATGTGGATGGACAACATCCAGTTCGTGGATACAGCGGACTTTGCCCATCGACGCTTGCAAGAGGGAAGAGAGGCGCATGTGCCACGGTCACAACCCTCTAATTCGGGTCCTTTGATGGAACCCTCACAATTCTCTCAAATCCGTATTCAGGGGTCCATCCCTACCAACCCCAAGCAGGCAGGTCTTCTGACCATGGCATACTGAAGACCACATGGGTGTTTCTCAAAAGTGGGGACCAACTCCACCCAAATTCAGTAACACCATCCAAAAACACCTACCTCAAGCACGTGGGAAAAATGCCTGTACATTTCTGAATGGGGGGGTCGCCGCCTTCCGCATTTTGTTCGGTGTTGGATCTTGTTCGTCCACATTTCGTATTTTGAAAAAGCTACATTGCAACAAATGCGAACTAGCCCGCTCGACGAGAGATACTCTCAAATGGAACTCTCAAATGGAATCAGGCCCACAGATTTGCAGGTTCACGTAAGGTTGCGCCGAGCCCCCAAGAAGGACTTTGGAAGACTATCCTGCGGGTTCCCCCCCTGCTTCAACAAACATGCCAGGAAACGAATCAACCACGAAGTCAATGACAAGGCAGTGTGGGTTCGAATCCCGTGGGGTGACCACTGCCCTCGGCTGTGAAGTCGTGTAGTAGGGGTCGGTGTATATAGGGGTTGTAAGGATGATATGGCCTGCGTTGTCTCACAACCAACTGCGACAGCGGGGTACGGTCCTTTTGCCTCTTTACAGCAAACCTTTGGATATTTCAACTTATCAAGAACTTGAGCCAGTTGACTCACTTGAGCCAGTTGACTTGAGCCAAAGCATCCATATGCATGAGTCGGCTGTTCACACAACAACATCCCCACAAAGGCTTGAGGGACCTTAAAGGAGGGGAAGAGAACAGGGTGACCCTCAGAACCTGCCCTTGGGGTTTTGGCCTGTGGACCGGAGAATCTTAGCATCCCCCATCCTGGGCTCGGGTTCATTATGGGGCCCCAGGAATCATCCACAAACACATGCCGACATGCATGGACGCACGGCTTTTCTCTTTCAATTCTGTGAAACGTTTCTGCACAAGTTTGACCAGGTTCTGTATATCGAACAGGAAGCGAGAATGCTACAGGCCGCATACCGAACCTCATGTGCATTGATGCACACGCAGCAAGCGATCTATCAGGTAATGACACAGATCCAGAAAAAAAACAGCAGAAAACGAACATCCATGACGAGCATAGTCCACCACCAATTTGTAACCGATAATAATTTGTAGCATCGAATAATCATTGACCACCAAATACCTGGCATCTCCAGAATAGCAGTCGCCGATGACGATACTGTACGGAAACATGAAAATGTTCTGTTGTGACAGATGCTTGGGTTGATCATGGCATGATGCACGATGAGTACCACGATCCCCTTGTAAAAAAATGCAATCTCCAGCTAATCCCCCACAAAGTAGAGATCATGTTGGCAATGCTTGGTCACCAGTGCGACGACGTGGTGATGGCCTTTCTACTCGCCCTCCACTGGAACCTTTCTAGCCGAGAATGTGGTGTCTCCTCGGTCCGATTGATCTTCTCAATATAGCGCGAGGGCAGATGTATATTGCGATGATAGCACCATTGGTTAAGAGGCAAATCAACCTCTTTGACGCTTTGCACGCAAATCATGGCAGCAAGATCAACTTTCAAGAACTTGCGTCCAATGAGCACATCTGTTCTGTAGAAGGTCATGTAGTCGCAGTTGAGGCCAAGGGCAATGCATCGGAAATTCGTATCACATACGAAGGCGGTGTCCTTAACTGGTGATTGATTCCTCTGAACTGCTCTGCTTTGATACCAAGGATATTGCAGGCAGTCCAGATCCGACACATCAAGTAGTACAGCCCTCTCAGCTTCAGGCTTCAGGGACCAATAAAACGTCTCTTCATGCCTGTGATTCGCACTTTGGAATCTTACGTTCCTAAATTTGGGAGCGGCACTCGTCGTAGGTGGGCGGAACAGGGATGTTCTGCTCGTCGACGTCGGTGAAAATCCACTCGTCCCTCTCATTGATTGCGATGTAAGGACAATACTTCCTTGACCAAGTCGCCTCGTTGTTGGCGAATACCTTCCACACTTTGAAAAGTATGATGCCAATGTTGCCGGAGAGGTATGACGCCTCGCCAGGTTCGTCGACGCAAATGGCCTTGACTTGCAGGAGGTGAATCGCGTCCGCGTCCTCCTCAGGATTGTCCGGACAGACTCCCACATCATCGTCGTCGATATCCGTCCCGATGTCCGATGGGAGGTACGATCTGTCCGCAGACCGTTCCTTGCTCATCTCATTGGTGTCGGGTCGTTCTTCCTCGGCGACGATGCGCTCAGCATCCTGCCTTGCTTCTCGCTGAGCCTGCTTCATTTCCTCCGTCACCTTTGTCGTGTCGGAAGCTTTGGGCTCGTCTTCATCCACATGGATCACGAACTTGCCGGTGGAAATGAGCTCACAGTCGCATGCCGTGCAATAGCAAAATCCTCTTGGAATAATGACAGCGCATGCAGGGCATACTCTGTTGGAAATATTTGATGGGTCGTCCTCACGCTAGACAATGAACCTGCTGAGCAGATCCCTGATCTCAACCAGCGAGTTGTTCAAAAGCTCGGGCACTTCGACGTTGACGCGCGCCATGACGACCATCTTTGTCAGGATCTCAGCATCCGCGGAGCCCTCGTCGTCCAAGAAGCTGTTGAAGTTTCCAAGAAAGTCCGCTGGGGTCGCGCCCACAGCGTCCTTGAACGCTGGACAGATCCGCTTAACCTCTTTGACAGGTCCTTTCTTCACGGACTTGAAGCTCCAGATCGCCATGATCTCCTTGAAGGGAATGGCGACAATCGTCCCTCCCGATGTGACCCCTGACTGGTACACTGACAATTTCCTTGTTGGCACGTAGATGGCGATGAGGTCATCTCCCTCTTTGCAGTCTTGGTCGAGATGTTCTTGCTGTCCCAAGGTGCAAACACTCCGCAGTGTACTGCCAACCTTCGCGCGCTGTCGTTGCCGCCTGGAACAATGCCTCGCAATATGATGCCCTCCACCTGGAAGTCATGAACGTGCAGAACCGAGACACAAGTTTTCCCCTTTGGCCATACATTGAGTACACGACATTTAGATCCAGCATCCACCACAACGAATTGTACTACCCATTGAAAGCGCTGGTGAAGATCCTACGCCACCAAATTGGCGCAAGGAGGAGCAACACTATTCCTTGCAATGGTGGAGGATGGGTGAAAGTCGAGCACATCCTGGACCGCGAGGACGTGTCCCGCAGAATCGGTACAAAAAGAGCGACAGAATCCAAATCATCGCCGAGTGCATCAGATCGGACGATCGCAGAGCGCGAAAACCGAGACTGCAGATTCTTGCTGCAAGATTCGACCAAGAAATCGAGGTCTCATAGCGGCTGGGTGGACAAAACAAAACATCGACTGGATTCGTCACGAGTACAGCAGATGGTGGCAGCCATGGTGCATTCGAGCATGGTCAGGACATTCGGACTTCGGATTCGCTCTTCCTGCCGAACTATGCAACATGCTGTTCCCGAATATGTCCGATCGCTTGGGCGGAGCATTCCACGTGACAAAGCCACCAGCCCTGTATTCCCTTTGGCAGTGTATCGGTCATACATGAGACCCACGTACGCCTTCGCATACTGCCTCATCACCGGGTTGAGGAACCACAGAGGGGTTTGCTCCGCCTAACGAATCGAGCATGTTGATGTACTCCTTCACGCTTTCGTTGGGATTCGTGTGTAGGTCGACCTGACCATCGTGGAGCTCTCCTCCTTCTGCCATGTCGGCCATCTCGAGAAGATTCACAGCATAGCTGTGCTTCTTGAAATTCCGGCTCCTCCATATTCCGGTGGCTGTGATTTCTCTTGTGGTTCGGCTCGTCTTCTTCTCCATCGGGACGTTCCATATCGACGTAGAGTGTCTTTCCGGAAGAAACAGAATCTGTATCTTTCCATGTGCCAAGTCAGATTCCGTTGCTCTTGTGATGTCCTTGCATGTCCCCTCATGCGACTCTTTTCCGCACATGATGCAAACATTGAGTTCGCCAGCGCGATCGCAAAGATTCTCGAACATCTGCAACAGTTCTGCTCGTCTCGTGGCGATGTCCTCGACTCTTGATTGTTTGGCATCAGGCTCTCCGGCATGATCGGGCTCACGGCCACGATCATCCTCGTCCTCATGATCGGGCTTCCTTTTCTGGCCTGTGAGACTGGCTTCCCCTGAGATCGATGAATGGGTTCGTGTACGCCAGCCTGTCCATGATGTCCCTGACATTCTTGTTGGGAACCTCCATGTGCGTCACAGCGCCATTCCTTTTCCTGTTGGGGCCTGTCATGTGAGAGGTCATGTTCTCCCTGACGAACTTCAGGAATGTGGCTTCCAGCATTGGTCGGTACTGGCAAACGTTCCCCCACTTTGGCAATTCCTGTCCGAAGTAGGATATGACGTCGAAGAACCCGAGGACGGTCTCCAGTCCATCTCCCAACTTCTCTTCATTGTCGGTGGAGAAAACATGGTACGCCTGCTCTTGACCGAGGAACCAACGCGTCCACGAAGCGAATACAGCGTTTCC